TGCAGCCGCAGGGACGGCACCGCTGGCTCCTCCGCTCGGGGTAGAAGCCCTCGGCACAGCTCTCGCACCGCAGCCCCGCGTAGCCTTCGAGGCAGGGGCACTGCCCCGTCGTGCTGTTGCATTCGGCCGCGCTGGCGCTGCCCACGGCGCTGCAGTTGCACAGGTCTCCTGCAAGGGGAAAAGAGAGGCTGAAACGGTGTGCTGGGGGCACAGCACCGAGCGAGAGCCCGAGCGGGGCCAGCGTCACGGTCAGCGCGGCTGCCCGCCCTTTGCTTAGCCCAGGTTGGAAACATCGTCGCTGTAAGGATGGTATTTGCTTTAAAATGTCGAGATGATTAAAAAAATGTTGGGGGCACCCTGGTGTTTGAACCCCCCCCATGGTTCATGTTTCAAATCTCTCTTTAAGAGAGAGCTAGAAGATTATAGGTATAACTACTTAAATACATATATACGTAGCTGTGTATAATGTCTGTCTGTACGTATACACACACACACACACACCCTCATGGTTGTCTGGTTACACAACCCCAGGAGCTGACAAGTGCTAGCTGTTGTAATATTAGGATAAAATCAGCAACAGGTGGCAGAATCACTAATTCTAAGCTCTTCCATTTCATACTACCGGAACACCTCCCGTTTACCAACAGGCTGGTCTTTATGCACAGGACATACACAACACACCTCCACGATGAACCGGCACCAGCATCTCCCACTCCTGGAGCACGGACCACAGAATCCCCCAACCAGGAGCTGAGGAGCTCCAGGCGTTTGGGCTGATGGCAGGGGTCCTGACTGCACCAGCCCAAGCTCCCCTGAAAATCTGTCCTCAGGGGAGCACTGAGCGTGGAAATGGCTTTGAACACCAGGGTGATGGAGCTGGGGCAAGCCAGAGACCTCCTGGCTACCCCCCCTCACCACCTAAACCACAACTGGCCACCGTCAGCCCCGTGGTGAGTGGGGACAGCTCTGGGGACCCACGCATGCGCCTTGGGGACACTTATTTACAGGGGTGATGGAAAGCACGCACCGACTGGCCACTTTTTTAAGAGAGGAGCAAATCTTTTGATCAAGTGATGAACTCCCAGTCCACCTGCACATTATTTTTCATAATACTTTAAAGCACCAAACGCATCAAAGAAAACAATCTCTCCCCAGCAATTTGTTTTTGCCAAGAGCTTTATCTCCGTTCCTTCATTGCAAAATACTTAGTGCCTTAATAATTTAAAAGTCTTTTTCTGCCAAGTGTGAATTATAAACAAGGATTATTTGTAGAAATAGTGCAGAAAGCATCAGGGGCTTTATATAACCATTGGTATTTGTTATTCCCTGAGAAAAGCCAGTATTCAGGGTGCTTCACAGAGAGGGGAGAGGCCAGGTCCCCATCCCAAGAAACCCGGACTTAGACAAAGCTCAGATCATGTCAAGAAGACCCAACACTAATGCTCCTCATCAGCACTAGTGTTTCAGATTATTTAATATTCATACTGCACACTTGTGCCCCAATCCAGCGCAAAGGACCTCAGCAGGTGCCTGGATCAAACCACATTTAAAACCCTGTGACTTAATAAAGATTAATTTATGAATATGTAAGTAATCCGCTGAAATTGGACCACACTGAAGCCCTAAGAGTGCCTTTGACTATAAAAGCCATAAGGTCTCTCCTATCACAGCAGCACTGTAAAGGCTCCCCGACGTCCTTGCCCTGGGTGCATTCGCCAGTGGACTTCAGCAGAACGGGAAGTATAGAGCAGTTTGGCAAACACATTAAATGAACATAAAAGCACAATTATAGGTCGACTTTTCAAGGAACGCTACAAGCCAAGTGGGAGGAAGGATCCCCCTCTCCCCAAAAAGGGACTGTGCGAAGCTGCAGGACCTCTCTAACCAGCAGACAGCCAGGCTGCAGCACCCCGGTGCTTTTACTTTTTATCCATTTTCCTCCAACACACAAAGAAATATGAGTTATTTAGCTTTATTACCCTATCAATACATCCACAGTACCCCCACAGAAATAATTTTGTAACTACACACCTGTGAAATTGCACCTAAATTTTCTGCAATCTAAACTAGCAAATAGGACAAACACCTCAAGATCTGCAATTATCCACTTCAGCATCCACTTCACATAATGCACTAAATTCCCATCTCAATTATCCAAGCCAAACCTTATCGATTTGGGCACTTGGGCTGCTACCAGCCAACGGGAGCCGCAAAAACTTCTTGGGCAAAAGCGCTTTGGAGTTTGTCAAACACGCATCAAAACAAATTTACCTTTCAAAGCTCATTGCGTGCAGTGCAATTAGACTTGCTAGACTTGATTAAGAAAAGAAAAAAAGCATTGTATCAGTTCTAACGGCGATGTGAAGCACTGAGAGGGCAGGTCCAGCATGGCAGCGATGAGCTGCTCCGTGCAGAGACCACCCTCGTGCTGCAGGAGCAGCACAGCCAGAGCTGGCTGCATGCTGAGTCCGTCCCAACACTACAGCACAGAATCATAGAATAGAATCATAGAATCATAGAATTGTT